GAATAAAACGAGAAAGCGTGCACGCCCAGGTGCACTCGATGACAGTATGACATCTCGAGTTGTCAGGGTTAAGCGACAAGATGGCCTACGTGAGGCCTTCTATGACAAAAGAACAGTGGCAACTTCGAGTTCGGCTTCTGGATTTGACAACTCGACCTCGATTGCGGTAGCGAAGCTTCTCAATACAAGGAGAAAGTCACCGCGAAGTATCTCTCGCAATGTGTCCGAGGGAATACCAAAATCGTCCGACTTCAAATTTTGCCAAGCGAGGCTCAGCACTGCAAAGGGATGAGACCCACGATCGACGAGGCGCTTAGCAAAGAAGCCCTGAAGCAAATTACGTTGTTTTCTTCATGCGTGTAAGAGTTTAGTTTTGTTTGGACATTTTTGTCGTTGTAGAACCTTCCAAACTTTAAATCAAATAATATAATTGTTTTTTTTAGCGGTCTAATGTCAGCGATTCCTTTAGTTTTTCTGCATCATCTCCACTATCAAACTCATGAAATTTCAAGCGTAAATTTGGCTGCCAAGCCCATCAAGTAAAGTGACCACACGCAAGTCAACTATCGTCATGCATAGATATCATAACACAAGTTTTGCATTTCGTTTCATTTTGATTCCTTTGCTCGTATTCGTATGCATGTAGATAGAGTTTACTGCAAGCGATACAAAAGTTACAAAATCAAACAAACACGAAATCATTCCTCGACTCAAAAAAATATCTTGTGTAATACCTTTCACAAACTCCAAACGTTCGGCCTCGATACATGATGAATAACTTGTCAGAACTTGCAGCGAATGATAGTTCTTGCGAAAAACGTCCAGTGATCATTTTTCTTCAGTGCATTTGTAGTGATGATAGTTGTGAAAACAAGCATTTCGTTTCATTTTCGAGACAAAGAAATGCTTTTCCAGACGAAGACTCGGCTGCGTATTATTTAGCTAATACTTCTAACAACAAAGCAACTGCCTATGTTGAAGCATTCTCTCTTATCAGCATCTACTTTCGGCGACCGCCGTTCAATAACATATCTATTGCATCTAGAACCAAACATTGATTTGTGTCCGTAGCATAGGTTCTCTTGATGCGAAGACTTACCACTTCGAAGCTCGGAAGTTGCAGTCAAACTGCTTACAAATCAATTGTATCGACAAAAAGGTCAAAGTTGTCAAATAACCTTTCAGGATGTTGTCCAGGTACGAATATAACATATTTGTACAACTTTTAGTCACGAATTCTCAGCAGCTCAGAAACGTAGACGAGGATTGGAGTTCGGCTTTACCGATTCCATAAACTAACAAAAAGACTTGGTAAAATGTTGCATATCCGAAGCGTGAGTTTCATCGAATTGTCTGGTGAGCAATTACCTCAAGAAATGTTTGCTTTATACTCAGTATCTTGGGAACAATCCCAGTGTGAAAGAGTTGCCTAATACTTCGAGGAGATGAAAACAAAATATGCAAAATTATCCAATACTCGTATGCTTGGATGTTCTCGAAATCAAAAATCTAGATTGCTAATCAAATCTCCTGATGTCTTGCATCAGCAACATTTTTTTATGGTGTTGAAGGAGATTCAGCAATAAAACAGCAAATGCGGAATGCCAAACATCCAGGTTCAATTACGACAATATAACAACCATGTTGGGACTTTGTCAATGTGTGTCAGGTAATTGAGACTTGACTAATGTAACAACTGCAAGATTCGATTGATTAGGAGTACTTTCATTATGATCGTGCAAATCACGTTACCCCAAAACAAGTTTAAACGAATGTAAGATCTTGAAATTGTCGGTAATAACGGAAATTGACTCTAGCAAATTGTGCGTGATTCTCTGCGTCGGCAGCTATCACCAACAGCACAATCAAAGGGTTATTTTACTGCTGCAACTTGGTTCTAATCTAATTTGTTTCGCACGTTTACTTTCGAGAGACCATCTACGCTGAGATCTGCTAGTGAAACACATCGATGTGTCTGACTGACAATATCGTCATCTCGATTTCAGTTCGCACTTCTTAGCCAAGTACAGCTGTAGTTTGTCAGCCTTTGCTTTGTTGCAATCTATCCTGTCTGTTGGTTTGCTATGCGACACCTTGTTGGATGCTTAACTTCGCGTTGTAGACATTGGCAACTGAGGGTAAAATAAAGACTGGTAAGAAATAAGTATTATATTAAACTTAGAAATCATAATGCACAAAATGTAACTAGAGTTAAATTACGTGGCAAAACCACATCAGTAACAATGGCAGGGGAGCCCTTGTCCGAGTCCGATGGCGCCTTTTACGCGTTTGCAGGCGTCATGCTCGCGCTATACGTGTTACCCGCCACAATCTTTACAGTATACTGCGCTTTACGCATGCCCCAAAAGCTCCGATCGCTTGGTTTCGCGCTGCATCTTGCTTTGCTAACTGTGGCCTGCGGTCTGTTGTGGCGCACTCTTTCGGCTTTGCAAAGCGTGGACACCTCGGGAGTATTTGACCCATATGAGATACTAGGTGTTAGCGAATCGACGTCCATAACCAAGATCAAAAAAGCCTTTCGTGTGCTAGGGCGGCAGCTGCATCCTGACAAAAACCTAGACAATCCTCTGGCCGCTTCTCAATTTGCGCGCCTCACCAAAGCGTACGAAGCACTTACTGACCCAGAAGGCATCGAGAACTTTCGTAGGTATGGACACCCTGATGGCCCTCAGTCCATGCTCATGGGCGTGGCCTTTGCCTCCATGTTTAGTGGCAACAATGGCAACACCGGTTCCATCTTCGCGTTTGTGTATTTCGGCTTGATCTTCGCGAGTCTTGGGTATTTCTTGTACTGGTTGCAGAAGCGATCAGGCCGTCGTGACCGCACGCGCGTTTCACGTTCTACATATGCAACCTTTGTCGAAATTTTGGCAGACAAGATGAGTGTGCACGATGTAGTAGAACTTCTCTTGTCCTGTGATGAAATGGCTGGTTCTGCAGCAGGTATTTTGGACGATGCACTCAATGAAGCGCAGCTTCGTGCCAAGACACATGACAAGTTTGCAAAGAAGATGGAAGCCGCTAAGGCACTATCAAGTGAGGTCACCACTCGCATACGAAAGCACCCGAACCCAGTAGCGCGAGAGAATATGCTAGCGCTGTATCAATATTTGCTTCGAGACAAGCTGCGCAATGTGTCACGTCCGTCGTGGGTGGATCAGCGATTCCAGAAAGTATTACTTGAGCTGCCATTTCTTGTGGATATCTTTGCGACAATGGCAGCTGAGCAGCTGGTGAAGCGGGCATACTCTGCCATTCCATTGTTGCGTGCCCTGTCATTGCAATCGAGTTTGGCTCAAGGAAGCCTCGTCCCAGATGAGGCCACATTGCGTGCTCAGAAGGAACGTGTTGTAGATGCGAAAGTTAAACTTCCCATACTGCATTTGGAAGGCACAACGATGGCAGTCCTGGACGAGTCGACCATTCAGCCTGGAGACTGGCTCACACTGCAGATGACTTTACAGCGTCGACACCTGGAATCAAATGAAAAAGCACCACTTGCCACTACACTTTACGACCACGTTGATGCGAAGAGCCCGTTTCGCAAGGAACATGTGTGGTTTCTTGTTATAGATAAGCAATCTGGCCGTCTGTATTCGGCTTGGAAGGTGAGTGTCGTTTGCAAATGATTTTTAGTGTTAATTGGTGTCTGACGGCAATTGTGTAGTGTGTGGATCTCTCGCAGCAAGTTGTACAAAAACAAGGCTTTTTGGGCCCAGAAACACCTGGTATGTTGACGTGCCTGTTATGCATAGTTGACTTTGTTCATATTCTAATTTTCGAATTCACTTGATACAGGCAAGTACGAGTTTGAGGTGCGTGCGGAGTGCCCGGTATACTTTGGCGTGCAGACGAAAGTTGGTCTTTCTTTTTCTGTGGAGAACCGTTGAGAATATTTCCTTTAAGGTGCTCGAAACTTTCTTTGCTCAGAGAAAATCAATTTGAAGTTTACGATGAGGGTTCGTTTTGATATCTTACACCGTTACTTTAAGATTTTCTCTGAGTCTGTTAAATACCATTGCACTTAAATGGAAGCATTGTATTGCTCCAATGCCCTTATGTTTCTTTGCGCCCAACACGAGCTTTGGCAAAGAAAACTTTGTTTATGAAGTTGTAAAATTGTCTCAAGGGCAAGACATTTGTTGACGCAAATGATCAGGTACGAGCGAACTGCTCTGAAAATCTCACCTTTTTCTTCCTTGGGCTAAAGACTCAGCAGAGAGCCCAAAGTATAGTAACTAGTGGGTTCGTCAGTGTGCACGAGAAAGTATAGCGGCTGAAATATCAAAATGTCGCTTCACGCGAGCTAAGCTTTGATCGACTTTAAGTTATGAAAAATAATTCCTTACACCTTTAGCCTCCTTTAACGCATGAGGCAACCGGATAAAAAATATTTCTCGCACACCACAGCCAAATTCGTGATTGTATATAAATAATATAATAAAAAGGAATCCGCCGCTAAAATTTCTTGAAAAGCTCGCTAACGTACTTGAAAGAATCGCGTTGCCACGCGGCCTCGATTATGGTGAAATGAGAAATTCATTAGTTAATTAGTTTATTACCGCCAATATATACACAGGTCGCTCGTGTTACTCTATGTAATAACACAAGCACTGTTAGGATTGCTTTCTTTCCCATGCTTTGCTTCACTTTCTGCCTTATCTTCTTCGTGTTTCTTCAACCGAGCTTCGCGTCGCAGAAAATATCCAGACGTGCGATTGAGTTTATAGTGACGTTGGTGACGTCGGATACGTTCGCGTTGCTGCTCAAGCTTTTTCTCCGCAACTTCCATGCCGTAGTAACGCGGTGGCATGTCGTCGCGTCGAGCAGCTCCTTGGCCGTAATGATGTGCGAGCCAAACTTCTTCATCAATGCCATACAATGGACGCGCTCGAAGGTCTGATCCGTCTCCCATAGTAGCATACGGGTGCTGGGTCATCCCCGATGTGTCGCATGAGCGAAAACTATTAGCAGGGCGAGATGTGTCGTATTCGCGGCGCTTTTGAGGGTTTGAGAGCACCGAATGGGCTTCACTAACGTACCTGAAGCGCTCTGCCTTAGAAACGTCATTGCCTGTGACATCTGGATGTAACGATTTGGCTGCAGTTTGTCAACGAGATCCGAATTAGTGATAATTTGGATTAAAAAAGATGCTAAGAAGCGCACCGAGCTGAAAATATGCGGCTTTGATTTCCTTGGAGGATGCAGTCCTATCACATGAATGGTTAAGGTAACGGGATCAATTGAGATATCAATCATAAGGCAAGTAGCAGACGATGGCATAAACCTAGCAACGTTGAGCACGCGGTAATAGTCGATTGATGCCATCTGACTTTTCAAATTTGTGTTCCCTAAGAGTATGATGGTCAATTATTGTCTAGATGAATTTATCTTGTCTATTTGCTAGTAGCAGTATCATATTTTCAGCATCCTAGGTATTAGGTCGAATCTACACAACACATCTATTTGTTCTTTGCGGCCAACTCCTTAGCGTACTCGGCCACTAGTTTCTCTTGCATGTCACGCATGACAACTCCGTGCGTATTGTACTCCATTGTAAACTCGCCTTTTCCCTGCGTGGACGAACGCAGATCCGTCGAGAAGCCAAACATATTTTGCAAAGGCACATCACATTTGATAACCGTTTGCAAGTCGTCGGCGTCGCTACTATTGATAAGACCGCGACGACGGTTGATTTCAGCGATGGCCGTACCCTGAAACTCATTGGGCACTTCCACTTCCACAGCCATGATAGGCTCCAAAATACAAGGTTCAGCCTGCATGAACGCCTGGCGTATTGCCAGCACCATCGCAGTACGGAAAGCAAGCTCACTGGAATCCACGGAATGGGATTGACCATCATTCACCACAACCCGCATCCGTTGCACTGGATGACCAATAAGCCATCCCTTCTGTATCGCATCGTTTACTCCCTTTTCACAAGCCGCAATATACTCTGGCGGAATAGCGTTTCCTATGATAGCGTTTTTGAATACAACACCTGACGTGTTGCCTTCTTCTTTGAGCTCTTCCATCTCTTTGTCCGTCAGAGGTTCAATGTACCCCACGACACGTGCATACTGGCCAGAACCACCGCTCTGCTTCTTGTGCAAGTAATTGAACTCGCTACGCTGACGGATCGTCTCGCGGTAATTAACCTGCGGAGCACCTGTCTCGACGTCAACGCTGTACTCACGCTTCATGCGCTCAACGTAGATCTGTAGATGCAACTCACCCATGCCGCTAATGATCGTTTCTTTACTGTCGCTGTCCACACGCACGCGAAATGTTGGGTCTTCTTTTTGGAACCGATTCAGCGCCTTGGAAAAATTGCCGATCTGCTGCTTGTTCTTAGGAGTCACAGCCAATGACATCACCGGCTCAGGCACATGCAGACTCGTAAGCGTAAACTTGCCTTGGTTTGTGTCACTGAACGTGTCCATACTGGCACATTCGACGCCAAACATGGCTACGACCTCGCCAGCACCCACTTCTTCCACTTCTTGCATCTCGTTCGAGTGCATCTTTACTAGCCGTGGCACTTTTATACGCTTCATGTCGCTCATATTGTATATAAATCCACCACGCTTCAGTGTTCCAGAATATACACGCATGTAAGTAAGCTGACCAAATTTGCCTTCCTCGAGCTTAAAAGCAAGTGCCAGCAATGGCGCCTCTGGTGAACACGCGACGCTCACACGAGCTTCACTTTTAGACTGGTCTAATGCATAATTTTTGATCTCCGACGGACTGGGTAGATACAGAATAACCCCATCAAGCATAGGCTGAACCCCGCGGTTCTTAAATGCCGAACCCATCATTACAGGTACAAACTTGTGCGCAATAGTAGCACGGCGAATGGCTTTTTGTAATTGCTCGATGGTTGGCTCTTCTTCCATTAAAAACAACTCAGCGATATCGTCGTCGACATCAGCAAGTGCTTCAATCAGCTCCAGACGCTTCTCTTCGGCCAAAGCACGGGTCTCATCCGAAATTTGATCCGATTCCTCAATAATTTCACCATTAACGCCCTTATTGCGCAAAGCCTTCATAGTTAAGAGATCCACGACACCTTCAAGATCATTTTCGGCACCGATTGGCACCTGTAATGCCCAGGCGTTCAGCTTGAGCTGTGTACGCAGATCCCGAATGACTTTCCAAGGATTAGCACCCATGCGATCAAGTTTGTTAATAAAAGCGATACGTGGCACACCATACCGCTTCATCTGCTTGTCTACTGTGAGCGACTGGCTCTGCACGCCCGAGACTCCACAGAGTACGAGCACACCACCATCTAGCACACGCAGTGCTCTCTCGACTTCGATAGTAAAGTCAACGTGACCAGGAGTATCGATAATATTTATATTCGAGTCCTTCCACGAACAGTAAGTGGCGGCTGACTGAATTGTAATACCCTTTTCGCGCTCTAGTTCCATTGAGTCCATCTTGGCCCCGACACCGTCTTTTCCGCGAACGTCATGAATAGCATTGATACGGCCGGTGTAGAAGAGAATTCTTTCCGTGAGAGTTGTCTTGCCAGAGTCAATGTGCGCTGAAATACCAATATTGCGCAAGTTGTTCATGTAGCCCTCAGGCACGGGGAAGTCCGGTGCAAAAGGCGGCACTTCTAAGTCTGAAACAGCGGCACTGAATTTGCGCAATTGACGCGATTTTTTTGGAACAATACATAGCGTGGAGGGTACGCTGCGGCGCAATCCGGATGCCGCACGAGTCAGCTGCAACCATCGCATTGTAGTAGAATTCGACGAATTGAGTGGCGGAAACTCACCCGCAACATTCGATTCCAGTTTAAGCAGGGGACGATTTTGTAAATATTTTGACCTCTAAGGTCTCACCGCAAAAATGGGTGACGGTATGGAAGTCGAATTTGACCTGCTGATTGCCTGCCTGGTGCCATTTGTAATCTTAGCACCAGCTTTCTACTTTCGCGTATCTGAAAGGAGAGTGCCTTGCTCACAGAATTCATTTATCCAGGTGTCTGTTCCCGACAGATTTTCCGTTCGCGACATCGACAAGCGATCGAATAATATTCGATATACGAATATTACGTCTACGTATATTATACGTAGACGAGCAAATGAAGAACCTAAAATTACGAGGGCATAATACTGACAAGTAAAGGCAATCGCCCAAAAAATGACTTGCAAAACGAAGTCTGAAGACTACATTGATACAAACCTCCCCTGCCAATAGAACATAAATGAACCTTAAATGGCGTCACTCACCAAAATTTGTGTCGAAGATTGCGATTAGAAAAGATCAGTTTTCGTCAAAACAAAAGCTATGATTTTGACGTCTTGACCACGATACGCGGAAAAGGGAAAAGATGGTAAGGTAAAGACTGGAGTTATGAGCTTTCAGGCCCGACAAGTCCAACGCAAAGAGCATAGCTTAAGTGTAAATATCTGCTGATTTTCTTATTTACAGAGATTTGTGAAATCAAACAGGATGATTTGGTAAGTACTTGAACATTTTTGGCATGACTAATACAGTGAGAATATGCTTGAAATAATGAGGCAAACATTTATTAATGAGTGTATATCCATTTTTGAAAACCTGCACCGTGACGCTGCTCAACGAATTACTCTTGTCGAGCAAGCAGTCACTAAATTACGCGCTTAGTAGCATCCTGTAGCATAGGGTTTGCGAAAGCTGCGACAATTTCGACTCCCGGCTGTAGAAAAGGATATCACTAGGACTAAAAATCGCCTTAATTGCAATAGTGAGCAGCACTTTTTGATAAAAAACAAAAGTGAAAGTTGGGGCCATGAGGATTCCTAAAAAGCCCCACCAAGTTGGCTTAGACGAATTACACGAGGAGTTAGACACTACTCCTGTTCACACAGCAGCCCGGGACGGCAAAGTCAAAGAATTGCATGAGATCTTACGTGTTGATGTAATGCAGGCCATGTTGGTGGACAAGTACGGACTCACGCCATTGCACTGGGCGTGCGATCGCGGCGAAGCGGAAGTGTCGCGCTTGCTTCTCCACTACAATGCGGACGTAAATGCCATCGAAAAGCGTATGTTTAAGCGTCGACCGCTGCACTTTGCCGTGCTAGCAGGCTCCGAGGAAACGGTGCGAGAATTGCTGTCACATAATGCTGACTTGACGGCTCAAGACTACCGCGGTTGGGCACCGATTCACGGCGCAGCCTACAGTGGGGACTTGGGCGCGCTTGAGGCACTTCTGGACGCTGGTTCAAGCGTAATGACGCAATTAACACGGCAAAACGAGACGGCACTGCATATTGCCGCTAGTCGAGGACGCATGGAAGTCGCTCGACTCATTTTGTCGAAGTGCTGTCCGGGCGATGAAGCGGAGAAGTATCTGCTGTCGATAAAGAATGACACGGGATTGACGGCCGCGCAGGTGGCTGCTCGCGATGGGTACAACGAAGTTGCATGCCTGCTTAAAACTCGGAATTAGTGGCATCGACTGTGTCAAGTGTACATCTCGTCGTCACCAGAGCTGTTTGGGAAAAAAGACAATTATGGGACACATTCGCGACGTCGTGACTATGAACCCCGAACTTCAACCCGGTATGTGGAGTCGGAATATTGCTGTTATTGGAGTTGAACTTACTAAGTATAGAAGCTTATAAGATATCTGATACCCATGGTGCTTCGTGCTTCAATAACGAGCAATTCCGGCGTTATGGATATTGTGGCCAAATTTTACGGTAACGTTGCTACATTCGTGTGATCGCCATCATCGAAGATTCGCTGGCCCGCAAACTTCAACTTTCCGCCTTAATAAAATACGGGACAGTAACACTCGTATTATGTTAGCTTGTGGTGGATGTGCGCAATGAGGACTAAATCTCTACGGGCATAAACGAGCTAGCTGACCAGACTGTGCTGGCACTTTAGCTTGAAGTTGAACTGTCGGTCGACACCTTCTAATTTAATAAATTTTTTAATTCTACTTGAGAATTTACGGAAGTAAATAACTTTTGGCAGGAGATTTTCGAATTTCTCCTTGGCGCTCGCGGTGCGTGCTTTGACGATTGAACTTATCTATCAGCACGTCTCAAAGTCAGATTAGACAATCGACGATTCTAGAAGCGATTGTGAATTCACCACAATGCTTCTTCGCTATTAGTGAATCGAAGGTTTCAAACTCCAAATATCAGCTCGGAGCGACTGGCTTCGCATATGGCGAACAGAAGTCCCAAGTGGCACAATAAAGGTAGAAGAAGCCGAAGCGCGGCTCGATGAGGTCATCCACTGGTCAACTTTTTCCACAAACCGCAGGTGGTCAGATTGCTGCTGAATACTTGACTGGACGTTTCTGTTATCGTTTTGGCGAGATGGACAGCATGATGGCTGACACGTCGAATGGCTGAGCTTGACGCTTATTGAGCGGATCGATACACCGAGACTCGCGCGGGAAGCAAAGACCACGGAGAATGCGGGTTTCGGGCGTTTCTGTCATCATGAAGGGCTGTGGCTTGGCTATTAACGGCGATCGATGGTGCATTGTGCTCGTCAATTTGTCTATTTCTCCGTCGTGAATGTTAAATTCATTAAAACTATTCGTGACTTCTGCAAGGCGCTGCTTCTTCTTTTGCAGCAACATGCTTTCACGCGAGTTGCGTTTCAAAGGCACGCTTTCGAATTCTGAAGCTTGAGAGCGAGAGAGCGCGGACAAGTTTGACGTTCGTTTTGGCTGAACACATTGGTGATCCGTTAATTCCAAAAAAAATTGCAATGCGCGCTGGTCCTGCGTGATGTCATTGAACCCAAAATCGTGGCGGGTGTTCGACTTGTCCGCGACCGCTCGCGAGCGCTTTAATCGGTGATATGGGCCTTCCAAAGCCAAGGAGTCGTTTACTGCATCAGTGCTATAGCTGTGAGCCGAAGTTTCTAACGCTACGAGGTTGTCGCATGCGCGGGATCGTTTCATAATTTGTACCAAAGTAGCACAAGTAAATTCGCACACTGGAGGCAGCGACGAAAAAACGAAAGTGAACGATGTAATCTAAGAGGTGAGGAGGGGTAAAAAGGCCAGATTGGAAAGAAGGGCCCCATCGCAGTGCTCCCCGAGCCCGCACGCAATTCAACCACCAAGTTGAACAAGCAGAACCGAAACGTCAGTCGTGAGACTTGATACGTGAAACAGACAGCACCAAGGACCAAGTCCAATTACAGTTAATTTAACCTCTCGAAAAAAATCTTATATTTTACCAATCTTTAATGCGCTGCTTCAAGCTGCAAGAAACCCGCGCTTAGCTTCCTTGATATTCGAAGATGACAGTAATTATTGCTGGCTCTAGTGAGCATTTAACTTGCACAATCAGATCAGAGATTGCCTTGATACAGAAAGGAAGAGTAGAATTGGCCATGCAGCTTCCATCGAGCTGCCTTGGTTGCTTACAATCCTTTCTCGCCGTGCGGCAACTTTTGTCAACAAGACGACAGGCCGACTCGTATTATACATCTTCACAGCAGGCGAGTAATTCGTCCGATCTTCCAAACATATGTTGAAGTCTCGGCGAGGACCAAACATAAAGTCAGCGTCGCAAATATCGACAACTGCATTATAACCAGGCAAGACAGTGGGTCATGTAATGCTAAGTACTTAACATCGGTCATTCCTACTGAAATGAGTACTAATGTTTCGAATAAGCTTCTTTCCATCTTTTCCCTGCTTGATCCAGTGTCGCATTTCTACGCGCTTGTTTGCTACTAACACACCATGCGAGCGGTATTGTGCGGCACAGTTGCTCCTTAGATAGGGATAACATGGGATAGCGCACCAATCTGATGCTGTGTATAGCTCTATTCGTCGTGTTTCGTCTACATGGACAGTTCAGTACAGATCAATACTGTACATATCGTTTATACCACATGGGACTTTCACTTGATTCTTTAATGGACTTCTTTACCGTAAAACAGCTGTTATATCCGACAAATTGTCATTCCGATATCCGACAAAAGTGACATAAACGTTGACAAAGTTGCAACATTATTCGCAGCTAGCTGCATTGGTACAGTGGATAGAAAGCGACCGATGCCAACAAAACGGGACACCAATAAACAGACAAAGCCGCATGTATTTTGCAGGCTCACAACAAAAAGAATAAGTAATTGGATGGTTAGAGGTTAGAATAACGTGCCGATGAGAATATTCCAGCAACCAGATAGGCAGAGATAGATGTTTACGTAACAGCGAGTAAGATATACAAATCGCGCGTGCCCATGAGCTTCATTAAAAATATCACCTTTATGCAGACTTCTCTCTGAATGAAGTCTTCACTGAGGTTTCCGCTATCATCATATGGGTGCAGCGCACATTATCTTATAAGTGGAATCTTTAGGATGCAAATCTAGTTCTAGCTGCTAATTTGACATTTACTTGTTCGCAAAGCGACCTTGGCATATCTTTCTGTCCAGGTTGTGTCCGACAACCTGCACTTAACTATTTCTGTTGGCAGCAACCATGGTAGGCGCACTACAGCTACATAATGTCAATGCTTCAGTTGACTCAACAAATCCAATATTTTTTTAGCTTTACGTTACTGTTGTCAGATGATCTTATTTATGAGGAGTTATCACAATGTTCTGACCGCTTTCATTATCAAAAATACAATCTAGTACACGCCTCCAATCATTTTTTCGTCAGTTACAGTGTCACCACAACACAGAGCATTCCATACTGATTCGCAAGCAATACTTACTGTAGAATCCTAGGTTTAGACAGTACAAATAACTTTCCCCTTCTCTTCTTCCAATTTTCTAGGTACGTAAATATATTCTCTTAAAGTATTTATAGGTGACGCGCTAATTTGCTGTGTAAATCACTCAAATAAGTAACAATTAAAATAAGCAAAGCTTGCAGTGCGGTTGCTGTGCACTTCGCACGAAGGGTTCATGTTAGCAAACGGAAAGTGGTGGAGCTCGTACGCTTCTTCCAGGAGCGAAACCGAGAGTTTAAGTTTTGCTGTGCTATTTCAATAGCGACATATATTAAGGACTAACTTTATTTGGACCATAACTAAATGCCAACGTTTACAATATATCTGATAAAATTGTCTTTATCAATTGACTTGCCCATTATGTCACGGCCCATTATGCAAATACTATGCTTGAAGTCTAACCCATATCTGTATTTTACTGTGTCTGCATTCACTCCACACTTTAACAAGGACTTCCCTTCCGTACACTCGATTGAATGGCACAGCCTGTAGCAACCGAGAACTTAAACATATACTCGGTAGGACGCCAAGTGGCTCTCACATGAGATTCTCCCTCTCTCAAAACGGTCACAGCGACTGACAAAAATTTTCGCCCTCGCTGAAGGACTTACAGTCAAGCCGCACACAAAGAAGGAGATGTTTACTGTGCTTCGCCTCTCATCTCCACAAATTACGCATTCTGCAGCGGGGCTGCCGTATCTTTGCGCTTTGAGGAAGCGTAAGTTAGGTCATT